TTTTACCCAATATAATTATGGAAAATAAAAAGACAAACATGACATTAAGAAACACACAACATAAATTTAAAGGTTAACTTAAGAATTGCAGATTCAAGGCAGGCAAAAGAAACACCTTTTCCAATTGAACACAGGCGCAGCAAGTTCTCCCATCACTGCCGGGTGGAGCAGAGGCGAGCAGGTGAGGCCATTCGGCTCTCGGCTCATCCAGCCCCCACCGTGCCTGACCTGAGCTGTGTCTCTCCGTGGTTTCTCCAGTCACCTGGGAGTGTTGGGGTCAATGCGCACAGCATAAGGCAAACGCTACCTGTTGTGGATCTCAGAGTGGGATCAGCCCACGTCGGAGGCAGTTTGGGTAGAAAACACATCCCAGGTTGTGGGGAGCACTCTGAGGCTAAGGAGAGAGCCAGCCCTTGCCTGGCCACTAAGCTAAAGCCGCAGAGCCAGGGCTGGCCCCGGGTCTTGGAGCTCTGGGTGATGCGTGCAAGGAAGCCCTTTGGCTCCTCCTTCTCGGTCATTCCCAGGAAAGCTTTGGGGAGCAGGAGTTTGTCTGGATGTTGAGTGACGGGAAAGAGCAAAGCAAGGCAGAGGCAGGGAAGAGGGAAGATGGCTGCCGAGCGGAGGGTGTGCTGTAGCTGAGTTTTCAAGAATGAAAAATACAGGGAGGGCGGCGCAGGATCCTTCCTTTCCAAACGTGCTTCTTTCTGGACTGGGCTGTTGCTGCAAGACCCCAACTTGGAACTTGGTCCGTGTCCTCCACAAAGGCAAATGAGGTCTTCGTGGCTGCCAACACCTGTCTCTCTGTCTCTTCCCAGAGTAGATTTCTCCTGGTGCAAAGGGAGCATTTGGGGGTACATTATTTGATCAGAAGTGATTTTATGTGGCATTCTGTGATGATGAATGAGGTATTCCTAAGCCCAGGAATGGTTAAGCTGGCAGAAGCTTGGTGGGCAGGGGAGGCAATTCTGTACCCTGGAGAGGCATGTGTTCCAGGGAGGACACCTGTCTCCTATCCATAATGGGAAGGTCCAGTGTAGCCCACCTGCCACCAGGGGCTGGCTGGACCCTGTGAAGGTGACATTAGGGCTCTCAGCACTGCGGGTCCCTTCTGTTTGCAGGTCAGCTCACCGCAGCCCGTTACCTGCATGGCCACCAGAATAATAACACAGGGTGCTTCTGGGGAACAAGATGACAAATTATCATCAATGTCCTTTTTTAATTTCATAATTTCTTTACAATTACTATGCATTTCTTGCCCAACAAATAAAAGTACACTTGGACAGGGTCTAAGACAGTTATGTGTGTGGTGCAAGGCAGGCAGATGTCTGTGAACTTGAAGTTCTGCTCCGCTCATGTGGACAGGGGTGTAAGCTTCTCCCCGCAGGCAGTAACCCTTCATTCATCAACAGCTGCCTGCACCCTGGCAAGCAGGAGGTAAGCAGAGGAACAGAGTCTTTTAGAATCTTTTTGCCTCTCTCCTTCCTCATCCCTAGAAGGCTCCCCTCCTGCAAAGGAGAAAGGTTTCATGAGCCCCGAGGTACACAGAAATGAAGACCAAGAAAAGGGAAGAGAACGCAGGGGCAGAGAGGAGGGGCCTGGGGGGCACACTGGAGGACGAGGAAGTCTTCGGGTTTTCCAAGAATCGTGCTGAGGTTGTGCAGAGCTGGGACGAGAATCCAGGAGGGGAAGCTGTGCTAGTTGCAGAGCGTGGGCACTGCAGATACCCAGGCCCTGAGCGGTATCTTGGCACCTTCGCTCTCCGAGAACTTAGGACTCAGAGAAGCTTCCTTCCAGTGGAATTAGGACTTGGAGATCCTTTAGCTGGACTCTGTGCCATGGAGTGGCACAGAGCTGAGGGCTCTGTTCATGACATCGCCAACCTCCTAGTAGGCTCTCCACTGGGTTATAAAACCACTGGTGCCAATCAATTCCCAAACTCCCTGGCAGTGTCCTTATCATTGGCTGTAACTGGTCAGAGTTGGGTGGTTAACCCTGACTTTACCTCACTGTCGGTGGAGACAAGGACACAGAGCCGCCCTTGATCTGAAAACATGAACATCGGACAGTCTGCGGCTCTTGCAAACAGATGCCTCCCCGTGAGCCCGAGTGTCCAAACTGTCATTCTGGATGTGGGGACTTTTGATGAAATGCCCAGTGATGGCTTCTCTGGCTGCCTTCTCCGTGGTCCTGGATGCACCTCCATTCATTTCTGAGTACAGCCCTCAGAAAAGTTTTTGTCGCCATGTTACTTACGTACTCAACATGTACTAAGAACGTCCTAAGAATAAAGACCCAGGTAGAACAACCGGAGCCCTCCCACACCAGCCGCACACCCCCGTGGGCCAGGGCGCTCTGAGGGCCTGCGAGTGACAACTCCCCTTTCCTTCACATCTGGAAGATGCACCAGCGCTTACCGCCCTGTGCATTTTCTGGGCCTCAGGGTTAGATGCTAAGTCTCTGCTATTGTTTCGTGAGATAACAGACAAGCAAGGAAATGCAAATACGATCATTTTAGGCAGTGATGACTGTCTTGAGTAAGCGAAACAGGAAAGGGTTGACGGGGAGGGGAGACTTTAGAAAAGGTGCTCAGAGTCCAGGGGATTCACTGTAGGTGGGACTGGACTGGGCAGAAAGTGCGTATGTGTGTGTGTGTGTGCACATGTGCGTGCGTGCATGTGGGCTAGGTGGGTGTGTGCACATGGGGTATATGTGTGTGTGTATGTGGATTAACAAATGTTGAGAAGCATGTTTTGGGGTGCCCTGCTTCCACTTGGGGCTTCCCTCATGCAGATGACTCCCTTTCCCCCTGCTTTTCTCATTTCCAGAAGCTGCCTGACTGCTGCTCACTGAGCAGGGCCCCCTCCTGGCTGAGCTAGCCCATGAACACTGGCGGGGTGCTCCTGTGCTCCCACATTTCCATGTGCTGTTGCAAGGACTCCTCACCCAGCCTATCCTGCAGCCCACTGACCTTGAGTGACCTTTCTCCAGGGGGCTGTGGGACAAGTCCTGCTCTCTGCTCAGCTCTCACTGCAGAGGCACTTTCTGGGCAAACACTTTTGTAGCAACGAGCCTTTTAGGGTTATGCCAATAAGACACCATTTTTCCAGCGATTTCTGCTTGTCGTGGAGTGTAACTTCCGTCTGGAAACTCCATCCTTCTGGGCTCCAAGATGTGTGAGGTTTTCCTTCTCCGGCTGCCATTCACACAGCGCCCCTCGGAGGCCCGCCCCTCCCCCCCCCCTCCAACTTCTCCCCTCCGCCCCCATGTCTTCTCCCTTCCCTCCTGCCCTCCCTCATCTCCTCTCCCCTCCTGCCCCCCCTCACCCCTGCGCCCCCCTGCCCTGCCCCTCAGCTCACTCTATTTGGCCAACTCCTCCCCAGGCTGCCTCCAGCCCAGGCCTCGGGGTCACTCTCCCCTGCAGGAGGGATGCTCCCAGCTTGGCCTTGCGCAGAGCCCCCCGCGCTTGGCTCCGGGCAGCAGCCCCGGGGAGTGCGAAGGCGGCGGGGACTCTCAGGGCAGCAGGCGCGGAGGACCTGGAGGGTTTCTCTAAAGCTGGTGGCATGAGGGGGTGGGGGCTTGGTTCAGCGGCGGGACCCTCACTGTCCTCTGCCGCCACCAGGGGCTTACCAGGTGTGACCCCAATTTCCTTGACGGCCTCTCTGTGGCCTCAGCTTCCTCTCTTCTTGCTCAGTAACCCCCTGCGCCCTCTCCCTTTGCTGTTCTGCTGTCTGGACGGCTTTGCTGGGTGTCTGCGGGGTCGCCCCAGTGGCGTTTACCGCTAACCTCAAAATGGCACCTCAAAATGGCACAGGAGCCCTCCAGGACCCGCGGCGGGGGCCGCTCCCCTCCAGCCGCCAGCACATCAGGCCGTTTCCTGACCCCACTGGGAACGGCAGCAGCCCCGCGCGGCTCTCGGGGACCGGCCCCCGGGGGTGAGCACTGCACCCCCCAGGCCCCTGCACCCCCCAGGCCCCTGCCCCCTGAGCAGACACCGGAGCCAGGCGGGGCACGACTTGCCGGGAGGCTCAGTCAGGAGCGGAGCCAGAAACCAGGATTCCGAGGGCGGGTTCCATCGTCCGCCTGCGCTCGCCCGCCCGCGGGGCGCAGGGGCCGGGAAGGGCCGGGGCCGGCGAGGGGCGCTGGGTCCACCCGGAGCCCTGAGAGGGGCGTCCGGGGCGCTGCCGCGCGGCGGGCGTGGGGTGCGGGTGCTCGGGGTCCCGGCCGACCGGCAACTTGGGCTTGACGTGCCCGGCCCGGGGGCAGGACCGGGAGTGCCGAGAAGACGCGAAGCTGCCGCGGCAGGACCCGCGCCGCGAGGAGACACCCCCGCCCCCCGCCGCCCCTCCCTCCCCCCGCGCCCCGCCCGGGGAAGCCCCGACGCCCACGGGAGCGCGGGGAGCCCCGCGCGCGGGCGGGGCCGGCAGCCGGGCGATCCCCCCGCGGGGCGCCGGGCGGGGGCGCGGGGGGCGGGGCGCCGACGGGCCTCCCGCCGAGACGGGGCGGGACAATGGGCCGCACCCCGGCGCGGCGCGGGCGGAGGGAGGCGGGCGGCGGCGCTCGCGGCTCGCGGCGGGGCTGGGCTGGGGCTGGGGCCGGCGCGGGCGGGCGGGCGGCGCGCGGGGGCGGGCGCGCGGGGCGGGCGGCGCGCGCGGGCGGGCGGCGGGCGCCCGGCGTGTAAATAAACTGCGATGCTGCCTCGGGCTCGCCGGCCCGGGTGCCGCCGCCGCCCCGGAGCGTCCGTGCCCGGCTCCCGCCGCCGCGCGCCCTAGCGCCTCGCGCCCGCGCCCGCGCCCCCGCCGCCCGCGCCCTCGGGGTCCCGCGCCGCCCCGGGGGATGTGACCTCCGCCGCCCGGCCGCCCGCGCCCCGGGGCCCGCCCGTGCCCGCGCTCGGGGGGGGGGGAGGGGCGCGCGGATCATGGCATTGGGGTTCCCGGGTCTGCAGCCGCCGCCGCCCGGTCCCCGCACCCCGAGCGCCCCGTCTTCCCGGAGCAGCAGCCGAGGCGGCGCCGCGGCAGATGGGGCTCAAGGCGCGCAGGGCGGCGGGCGCGGGCGGCGCGGGCGGCGCGGGCGGCGGGGCGGCTGACCCCGCCGGGGGGACGCGGCGGCCGCCGGCGACGAGGAGCGCAGAGCGGGGCTGGCGCCCGGCGACGGGGAGCAAGTCACCTTGGCGCTCGGGGCCGGCGCCGACAAGGACGGGACCCTGCTGCTGGAGGGCGGCGGCCGCGACGAGGGGCAGCGCCGGACCCCGCAGGGCCTCGGGCTCCTGGCGAAGACGCCGCTGAGCCGCCCGGCCAAGCGGAACCACGCCAGGTACCGGCGCGTCCAAACTTTGATCTACGACGCCCTGGAGAGGCCGCGGGGCTGGGCGCTCCTCTACCACGCGCTGGTGTGAGTACCCGGCCGCTGGGGCGCCCCGCGGGGCGGCGGGGGGCGGGGGTCGCCGGGCGCGCGGGTCCCCGGGCGGGACGCCGGCCTGCCCCGAGCGCGCGTGTCCCCCGAGTCCTGCGGGGAGCGGGCCGGCCGGTGCGCGCGCGGGTGCGGGTGGCTCCTTCTCGGGACCTTGTCCTGGAGCGTGGAAGAACCGTGTGGTTTTTCCCGATTCGTAAAGTGGATCCTCGGGCCAGCGCCGTGTCTCTGCTTGGGGGTCCCTTCTCTGGGAATCGCTGCTGAGTTTACATGGTGCAGCCTGGAGTTGGGGGAGCAGAGGTGCTGCCCAGAGCGGGGGTGTGTGAGCGCCGCGGGTGTGCCTGAGCGCAGGGGGCCGTCGCCTGCCCGCCGTGCTCCGAGGGCCCCATCCTGGTGGAGAAGGAGCCTGGCGTTGCTCCAGCTGGGGGCTCGGGTTCACCAAATCCGTGCCTTTGGGTTCTCGTTCGGGGAGATCAATCGGAGCGTGTGTCTGTGCATCTCAGACTTGAAACCTCCGGGCAGGCACTGGGGCTGAGCTGTGCCAGCAGGTGGGGGTGGGTGGTGTTGTGGCTGAAACAGCTCCTTGATTGGGGTCCTGATAGTCCCTGGGCCGTAACTGCGGCTCCTTCTCTTGCTTGCACTGAGCGAGCGCGCAGAAATGTGGAGGAACCGGGGCTAGAGGTCCCCCCAGCACCCCAGCACCCTTCCCCTGGAAAGCATCTCCTTGCTAGTCAGAATGAAATGCACAAAAATGCCTGGCTAGAAGGAACACAGCGTCTTTTCTGCACCTGGCACTCTGGATAAAAACCCCCTTGTACTGGGGGAAGCCAGGGAGAGGATGGTCGTGGCGCTCCTCACCCAGGAGGGGAAACCCCGTGTCACAGACTTCAGGGCTGCAGGACCCTTTCTGGTGCCTCTTGCCTAGTGGCTGTGGCTTAGTCATCCTGATGGCTGCCTCTCGTGAGGCTGCACGGGTATCCGGGCATTGGTGGGGAACTGACCGTGACCTGTGTTATGCCAAGGTGAGCAGGGGATATACCTCTCTGGCCTCCCGCAGTTGACCCCTGACTGATGTGGTCAGGAGGAGTTCAGGGATCTCTGGAGTTAACACTCCCCGCCAGTCTTCCTCTTAGAATAGCTTTTACAGATGTGGCCACCAGGTGGGGCCCGGGCACAGGACCTCAGACTTGGCAACAGGTTTCTTCAGAGGTTGCTCAAGCCTGGAGAGGGTGCCTCCCTGAAAGGCAGCACCCGCAGGAGGGAGGAGAGCATCCAGGCAGTAATAGGGGTTTGGGGGGGGGGTCCAGCTGTTGGCATCTATGTCTGTGTGCGTTTGCAAGTGTCGGTGGCCGAGAGAAGGGTTGGCAGTTGATACTCTCCCATTTGCTTTTTTCAAGTGATTAAAATGAGTTTGAAAATACATATATTCCAAAAAAAAAAAAAATACACGTGTCTCTGTCTCTAGCACTGTGTTTAGTTAAATTAGAATGAAGTTCATGTGGTGATATGTGATCATTTAAAAAGGGACACAAACGGAGACTCACATGCAGACATACAGACTCACACGACCTTTTGCACATACATGCATTGGGTACGTGTTGGTTGACTTCCAGACCTGGGGTCCTCCTGCAGCCTGTGGGCTCCCCGCTTCTCCTCCCATGTTTCCCAGCCAGCGCTCCGAACCATGCCTTGCCCAGGAAGAGAAGAGAGAGCTAATACCTATAATTGACAGAGCCTCCATTTTATCATTCTCTAGAATTATTCCAGCACTCAGAGGCAGGTTTGAGATCTATCGAAACCTAGAGCCGCAGTTCCCAGAGAGAATCCAGGAAAGCTGAAGACTGAAGGAGGAGGAATTGAAACCTTACTCCACAGTATCCTACTTGCAAACCATTCCCTCATTGTACTCCCACCACAGTGCACTGTGGGTCTTTTTAAAAGGGGGTTCGTGCCCCCCTCCTTGACTCCTCATCTGTTGATGGATGTTCAGGCTGTTTCCACTTCTCGGTGGTCTTGTGTGAGGAGCTCTGCAGTGAACTGGGGAGGTCACTGTGTCTTGAGATTCTGATTTATTTCTCTTCTTCTGGACCCGGCTAGTTCTGGCTTTAGTGGTGAGGACCCACCTTGCGGTGTTCCAGCACAGCTGCACCATTTTGCTTTCCCACCCACAGAGTGCAAATTTTGCAGCCTCTCCACGTCCTTCCCAGGCTTGTCTGTTGTTTTGATAACAGCTATCCCGACAGATGTGAGGAGACGGTGCGTCGTGTCCATCTTCATTCAGTGGGAAGCGGGTGAAGGAGGCCCCCCAACCCCTGGTTTAACCCAGCTCTGCCCTGTCCTAGCTGTGGACCCTGGAGCGAAGTGCTGGACTCCCCTGAATTTTGGTTGGTTCATTTCTAATATGGAGATTGTGATGCCTCCTCGCAGGGTGGTGGCGAGATTTAACAGACATGATGGATAGAAAACTCCTCAACGTGGCATTGTAGCTACTTGGTAAATGTGTTTTCTTTTTTGCTCCCATACTCACTTATATTTAATCTACCTGCTTCCTGCACCCTGATAAAATCCATGGCCTCCTCTGTTCTAATCATCTTCTTTTATCTTGTTCTTCATTTCTGAGCTCCTTGCCTTCCTTGTGACTCTGTTTCTATGACGCTTTCAAGCCTCTCAACCAGAGCTCGGTTTAGGGGTTGACGACCATAGCTCCGCAGTTCAGCAGAGGCAGAGAGGGACTCACACCCAGGGGCTCCCGTGCTGGAAGCGAGGGGACACAGTCTCTTCCTCACGAGTGAGCGAGTGACAGGTCCTGAGAAGACACGTGCTATTTCGGGGAGGGAGTTGGGCTCACACAGGAGTCCTCTGGCCGCAGCGTGGCGCTGTCTTCACTATGTCACCGTGGTCCCTGATGAAAGACTTGGGGGGATGTGGGTAGGGAGGCGGAGGAGGGTAACACACAGGGACTGAAGCCTGGCCTGTCTGGGGATGTGCTCATAACTGCATTTCTGGCAAGTTCCCAGGGGAGACCAGTGTTGCTGGTTAGCAGAGCACACTTGGAGCAGCAAGACTTCTCAGACTTGGGTATCTTTGTCTCACCTGGGCAAAGGCACCTGAGCACAGAGCTGGCAGGCTCCACTCAGCCAGAGCCATCACACTTGTGTGTAGGGAGGCGAGCTGATCCCCTCTCCTCCTGACGACTGTCTATAGAAATATATACAGCATACCTGCGATAGGCCTAAAAAGACCTGTGTCCGGTACTGGAAAGTAACAGACACATTGCACTTGTGGGACATCAGTGTTTGTGGTGTCTCTTCCAAAGGGTTCATGTCATGAAAACAAACAGGCGTGGAGCGCTGTGTCAGTGAAGGGAGGCAGTGATAACCACATGCGATGTTTGAGACCCATCAAATTCAAAAGTCAAAGAATCAATCAAGAAAATGAAATGGAAACTTCCAGATGGAAGAGTATATTTTTAAACCATATATTTGATAGAGTTTATATCCAAGTTATATAAAGAGCTCATATAACTCAATAGCAAGGAAAACAACCTGATGAAAATGTGGCAAAGGGCCTGCACATTATTCCATAGAAGACATTCACGTGGCTGACAGGTACATGCAAGGTGCACAATGTCATGAGGCAGGAGGGAAATGCAAATCAGAACCACAGGGAGACGCCATCTCACACCTGTTGGAATGATTACTATCAAAAAGAGGTAAGAAGTGCTGGCCAGGATGTGGAGAAGCAGGAACTCCACTCCTGGGTATTTATCGAAAGTAAAGTAAGTCACTGTCTTGAAGAACGTGAGCCCCCATGTTCACTGTAGCTTTATTTATAGTAGCCAAGATGTGGATAGTTCGTGTCCGAAGGGTGACTATGCCTCCAGCTTACTTTTAGAGGGTTCAGGGAACATACTGACCGTAAGTGTGTGTATGGGTGTATGATATTGTTCTTCACTTAAAAATATTTCTGTGGAAAGTTAAAAAAAAAATGAGACATACGTGAGAACAGATGCCAGGCTCCAGCCCAAAGCTGGATGCTGTTGCTCTGGTGGATTGTTGTGTGGGCCCAGGGTGATCTCAGGGCAAAGTCAGACCTGCGAACTGTTGACTGAGTTGAACAGGCCTTGTTAGGTCCATGATTCTATGGACCAAGTCTCTGGGTCCCTCTCTGCTTTGGGTTTCATGCAGGTAATGACAAACATCCAGTGGAAGGTCCAGCGTTCATTTCCAGGTCACACAGCCAGATCTCGGCCAGGCTATCGAGGGCGTGAGCTGTAATTCTTTCCCTGGGACCAAGCGACTTGAAACAGCTGCATTTCGGTAGTTCAGCATCTGCAGTGAGGGAGTGCACCTGCGGTGCCAGGCTGCAGACAGGGGCAGCATGGTTAGCCTGCCCTTGTGGTTTGTGGGGAGGCTTCTCCAAAGGAGGTTTTGGGGGGCATCAGACAAGGCAGCTGCTCTTTGCCCAGTGGGTGGGTAGTCCCCTTTTCCCACTTGGAGAACCGAAGGCTAACCTCAGCGGACTTGAATGCTAAATTATTCTTCTTGCATTACGTCATCGCCTCCTGTTCACAGGGGTGGATGGAAGCAAGTCAAATCCCATCCAGCTGTACCTGTTGGATGGGACTTTTCCTCCTACCACAGAAGGTTTGAAATGCTTTCTCCCAAGAACAGTTCGGTTGCAACTTAGAGACAAGATTCTTTCTTGCACATAGTTGACAAATGAGCCGTGTAGATCCTGTCCACTTGGCTCAGGGAACATTCCAGACAGAAGCTCCGCTGACTTCCTCCAGGGGGTGGACTTCTCTCTCTGCTGAGCTCCGCGGCCTGAATGGCCTGGTCCTTCTGTCCACTGTTGCGCTCTTTTAAGAGACATAAAATTATCTGGACCCCATGAGAGGGTAACATTGAGTTGAGGTCCATAAATACCAATATACCCACAATCCCCAGCATTTTGGTAGCGTTTCATAATTTATTATAACC